AATAATTTTTATTAACAATTTAGCAAATAATCTTTTATAAATTTTAATCATATCTCTAGTTTATTGTTACAATGAAAAATATCATAGCCAGTTCTTTTTTATAATGAAACGGGTGAAATATAATAAAACGCTAATAATACTTTGAGAATATTCGACGTGTTAAGACAGAAAGCAATTATTTTGAAACGGCTAACCTCAAGTTGGAAAGGAGGATATTACTACAAGAGGAAGCTTGCATTAGCTAAACACTAGAATATGTAATGAAACAGGATTTTTGACCGGTCAGTTAGTTTAGTTGTTAGTTATAACGACTGCCACGACAAATGTTCGATTCTGCCTAGATCACACACGTTTTTTTCGATTTTTTTTGACGTACCGCGTAAGTACCAGTAGCCGGGGAACCAGGTGTACCCTACAGGAAATCTCTGTTACCCCGACGTACCTCGGGCCATCCACGGCGTGTAGATGACCCCGTCCTGTGAGGAGACCCCCATGTTCTCTTTCTAGATCACACACCTCGAGTTATCTGCAAACGGTTGGAATAGAAGACTTTTTCAAAGTGACTATTACTTTTTCCAAAATTTAGACATTTTTTTAGTGGGTAAAAAATTCAATTCCCGAGAGGCAGTACAAAATGCCTTTGAAGAGTTTGTTGCCTCCCGTCCAGCTGATTTTTAAAGGGCATCAATAAACTGCCAATGCCTTGGCAAAGATGCGTCGATTGCATGGGTGATTACTTCGAATAACAGAAATAAAAAAGTTTAAAAAAATAAATATTTCACTTATTGCATACAAAACGGCAATTTCATAGGTAAAAACCGATTATATTCGATCGATTTTGAAGAACGGAACCCTAGCAATACAAAATTCTATTGAACGGACATGAAAAATGATTAGACATTGTTTAGAAATGTACATCATCAAAAGTATAAAGGTTTTAGGTAAAAGATGTTAACGTAATGCTGACTCAACAGTATATCGGCTGCATGACCGTAAGATATGACCTCTTTGTATACACTACAGCGAGCAATATGTTACAATAATTTTAATAGTTCTACAAAATTAATTAAGTAATTAATACTAAAATCGAGTTTGTAATTTTAGTTTTGAGGGTTCACACCCTCCGGCAATAGCATTAGGAATACATTCTGTGTCGCGGGGGCCTTTACAAACATACATGAAATGGACACAAAGAACACCCAGACTCAGAACAACAATTTGTGGATCACACACAGTGTCGTCCCATGTGGGGATCGAACCCACAACAGTCGGCATAGTAGGAAGCGGTGTGGCGACCGCTTAAGCCACTACGCCATCCGTGCAGTCTAATCCAAGTTACACATCTTAAATTCACAAGTTTGTGAGTGTGTAGTGTTGTACGTTTGTTACTTCTTCACGTTCAGACGGCTGGACCAATTTTAATAAAATTTGGTATGGAGGTAGCTGACACTATAAATTAACACATAAGCTGCTTTTTATCCCAAACACTTTAGTATTCTCGTGGGATAAGCTAGGAATTGTTAACCGCGTGTTTTTGTATGTGTAGGGGTAAACGAGCAAACGAATCATCTGATTGTAAACGACTACTCATTGATATCTGAAACTTAACAGACACACTGTTCATCCGTGTGGTGACGGATTAAGAATACGGAGTGTCACCACCCCTATTCATCCCGTGGGTGTCGTAAGAGACGACTAAGGGAGCAAACTACGCAGGACAACAGTACTGCAAATAGAAGGAAAACTTGACATGAACCATATACCAACCCGATCTTCTTCCTAAGGAGAGGCTTATGTCTAGCAGTGCACTATTAAAGGCTGTTGATGATGATTGATGAACAGACAAAATTTCAATACCGTCCTTTAAATTACCCTATAATTATTATAGACTAGCCTTTAATTATTTCGACTAGCTGGTAATGTAGCTTTCCATTGGTAAAATAATTTTTAAAATCGGTTTAGTGATTAAGGCGTGACAGAATAACAAATTAACAAACAAACTTACTTTCACATTTATGTTATTAGGTATGGAAGTGTGGACCAATATATAAATTAATGTTAACTAGCTATTGCTAACATTCTCAATAAATTCAGACAAGCAACATCCCTTTTCTACCAATACTCCCTTCCTTATCCACCTTTCCTATCAATATACTTCTTTACACACACACACACACACACACACACACACACACACACACACACACACACACACACACACACACATATACACACACACACACACACACACACACACCTACTCGTATATATGTATATGTTCCTATACTTCCTTTTATTTTGTCTATCTTTATATTATTTGCGTTGTAGTTCTGGCTCATGAATTACTTATCGTGTCGATGGCAATACGTTACACGATTTTGTCCCAGCGCTCGTCCCTTGCATGATACAAGTCGTCAAGCGTACACGAATCGGGGCTCGCGAGGCATGTTAACAAGTGGCCCATTGTCTGTAGAGATGCGCCAAAGTCGCATTTATTTGCGCTTGGGTCGATAAATCCCCACCTTGACAGATTGTCCTTAGATCTGCCAAGCTGGGTACGCAGCCTATCAAGAGCCTTCCAGGTTGGAAAGGGGAGTTTATCTCCTGGAAGTAGTTTTTTGCCAGGTGGACTCAAAAATGTGGTTCGGGTCCTCAGGGAAGAAGGTACGAGATTTTGTGAAATGCAGCGTAAGGGCAGGAAGTCGAAGCTTTCAGAAAGGACCCTAGGGCTGATGAAGAAACGACGTGACAACCCACCTGTCACTTTGTCGGCAAAGCGGACTCTAAACCGAAAGATCAGTAAACTCGTACGACACGACACAGGTTCGTACAATCTCTTGGAAGAAGCCACCTGACAAAGTTGACTACAGAAAGTGGAGAAGTCGTTGCTTCGAAGCCGGCAGTCCTTTTGGAAGTGGAAAGCTATGGCCGGTTATACGCTTCGCATGCATCTCGACCTGATCCCGAAAATGAGGACTCTAGAGCCACGTTAACACGTCACTACATCGAAGACGTGCTATGGAAAGGGCTATGCTCGGCGTTTCTCTAAGGGATCGCATCAGAAATGAGGTGATCCGGCAGAGAACTAAGGTCACCGACATAGCGTACCGGATCAGCAAGCTGAAGTGGCAGTGGGCTGGCCATATTAGCCGCAGAACCGATAACCGTTGGGAAAACGAGTTCTTGAGTGGAGACCGCGTCTCGGCAAACGTAGTGTAGGACGCCCACATGCCAGGTGGAGTGACGATTTGCGCAAGATGGCTGGCAGGAGCTGGATGCGAGAAGCCCAAAATCGATCTAAGTGGCGTGGAATGGGAGAGGCCTATGTCCAGCAGTGGACTGCGATAGGCTCATGATGGACGAAATTGGGGAGAGGGAACTTATTACGCCATATGTTTTCTCTAGCCTTGGTATAATGTGGACGTGCAAAATGAATCTGCTTAGCTCTTCGGGGATACTGGCGTGAGTATGTATATATGTATGAGTGTGTAGCCGTTGAGATAAATAACATGACGGGCCTGTTGGTTCAGTTTTTAGTGACCCTGACTGGTCGTGGGTTGGATTCCCACCTAGGCCAAATAATTGTGTTTTTTTTTAAAAGGTCTACTAGCAACTGAAATTACTAGTATACCCGTTAACTCCTCCCGCTAAGCTAAATTACTGTACTGGTCAGGATTTAAACCCACGACCTCTTGATCGCAAGTCAACGCCTTAACCACTAGGCTACCGCCGCTTGCGCGTGTTATGATCACCATGTAATTTAACTATAATATGTATGTATTTAGATAAATATAAGTATGTTTTTCGGTAGTCTGGTTACCATAGCACAGGCTCAGGGATCAGACGGCCGTGTGTGAAATGTGTCAAGTTTTTTATTATTATTACATCTATTTTGTTTGAAGTAATCCAAGAAGATGGATCAAAGTGAGGATTACAGCTCCAACCATCACTTGATGTGTACAAAGTAACATCATAATTTGGCTGTAATCTGTTTAGAATTTAAGATGATACCTACTTGTGTTTGTAGAAAGTGTGTTGTGCTTTGATGTGAGCTCTTAGAAGTGAGTTATTTTATCTGATACTAGTGAAATACAATGTTTTATTTTAAGGAGTTGTTCGGACTAATACCAGCCGCAACTTTCCGAAATCGTTCCACACGGCAAAACTTTCATCATCATTACCTGGATAGTTGGCGCTCCACTACTGTGCGCTTTTCGAGACACTTTTTGCCCAGCATAACTATTCTGTGGAACGGGTTATCGTCTGCGGTATGTCCGGACCGATACGACCTTCAAACCTTCAAGAAAAGAGCGTACTCCTTCCTAAGAGGCCGGCAACGCGTTTGTGACTCCTGAGTTGCAGACGTTCATGGTCGGCGATGGTCACTTTCCATCAGGTGACCCGTCTGCTTGTCTGCCCCCTCTAACATAAAAAAGCCCTGATATTTCCAAAAATATTTTTGCTTATTACCTATACTAATATTAAATTAATTAATAAAACTGACTGGCCTCTCATTGGAATGGAGGTTTTGGCCTACTATACCAAACTGGTCAGACAGGTCGGTATAAGGTTTGTTTCTAGTTTACCTTCTCTTTTCAATGCGATTGTCCTGCGTAGTTTGCTCCCTTAGTCGGCTCATACGATACCCACGAGATGAATAGGAACTACCGTTTGGAATTGAAAAAATCTTTTAGTGTTGGATAGGCCATTTATTGAGGAAGGCTATAGACTATATAACATCACGCTACCACTAACAGGAGCCGAGTATTACGGCTACCTGGCGACAGATTAGTCAAGAGGTCCTACACCGAGCATCAATAACAATGTTGCGCGTAATTTATATATCCCACTGTCTACATACTGTCGGAGTTGCTGTCTCTAGCTGTAACTGATAACTCACTTTAACTTAAACTGGCTGTTGCCGCCATCACTGTCCTCCTCAGCACTCCGGAGGGCCAGCAGTCCTGTTCAAGCACGCCGGTCACGACGCAACTGAGGCCATGAGAGCAGCCGGCATGCCGTCTCATGTGTTCGACGTTTTCATTCAGAGATTTGTCATTGGCACATTGGTAAGTAGTGCCTATTGTTGCTTTTAATCACCGATGCAAAATCTTTATGTTTAAGCTTATGTTACACTCGTACCCGCGTGGTGACGGATTAAGAATGCAGAGTGTCACTACCCCTATTCATCCCGTGGGTGTCGTAAGAGCCGACTAAGGGAAAAAACTACGCAGAACAACAGCACTGCAGAGAGAAGGAAAACTTGACACAAATCCTATACCAACCCGTCTAGCCAGCGTGGTATAGTAGGCCAAAACCTCCTTTCTAAGGAGAGGCCTATGTCCAGCAGTGGACTGTTAAAAGCTGTTGATGTGATGTGATACTCGTACCAAGTTAAACTAGTACTTAAAATACATAAAATACTACGATATAAACAAGTTTAATGTGTGTATCATGCATATCTGTGCATCTGTATGTCTGTGTATCTGTATGTATGTATGTATGTGTATATTAGTAGATCTCTGTATGTGCATCTGTGTGTTCGGGGCTGAGTTTTTGTGTATCTTTGTATCTGTGTATTAGTATGTCAGTGTACTTCCCTCTCAATGAATCTGAGACATCTTGGGGCCTAAATAAACGGGCAGATTTTGATAGGAAATACTAACTGGTTAACTGTTATCCTGTAGTTGCTGGGCATGTGTTTTCTTCTTATGTACTTAATTTCATTCTTCATTTATTCCATTCCCACCACTTGGATAATTGGCAGTCCACCATTCTGTAGTTTTCATGACACTTTTTGCATCACACAACCAATCTGTGGAACAATTTATCGTTTGCGGAATTTTCGGACCGATACGACCTTCAAGAAAAGAGCGAATGACTCTTCAGTTGCAGGCGTTCATGGGCGGCGGTAGTCGCTTTCCATCAGGTGACCCTTCTGCTCGTTTGTCCCTCTTCCAAAAAACAACGAATTTATTAAATGCTATTATATGCTATAGACATTTCTTAATGTTGTAGATACCGGAATCTAGCTCAGCGCGGTCGCCACGAGCTACAGAGAGCTGCAGCCTGTTTGTGACTTCCATGGGTCTTTGTAAGTATACTGTAAGTTAATAATGATAACATTTGACATTGTTGTATCATCATCATCATCAGCCTATCGCAGTCCACAGCTGGACATAGGCCTCTCCCAATGCACGCCACTTCAATCGATTTTAGGCTTTCACATCCAGCTCCTGCAAGCCATCCTGCGCAAATCGTCTGTATGGACTTTTTTGTATCAAATCTGTTGTATAGACTTTTACAATAATTTAAGAGTATACAAAGTTACGTAAAAGTTAGAAGTATATCAATGTTAGGTGGTTTATTTAGGTGGCCTTATCGTAATGTGGCTTTTCCTGGTTTGTGATAGCGCAATTAAAAAACAGCTGCAAAACTCGGTGAACTGATATCACTGATAAACATACTTATATATCAATATATATATATACCAGCTGTTGCCCGCAGGTTTGCTTGTATGATTGTTTATTTTTCAAATTTCGAAGTTTAATATAATCAATTATCCCTTATTTTACTCTCTTATAAACTACAACAGTAAGTTACAACATAAAAAGCATCATCTGCCAAAATGATAAGTTTGTAGTCCCAGTGGTTTAGGCTCTCGTTGATAAATCAGTCAGTTAGAGTAATTTAGAGATTTTTATAGATTATCACAGATCTAGACAATCCATTCGCTGCATTCTACTGAGTGACTGAGGTTGACGGTGTGGAGGAACGGCTGTCATGTCCCTCCAACACAAAGGGAGGATTCTCCGACCAGGCGAGCTGATCATGCCTGGCGGGCCGCGGCCCAACGGTTGATGTTGGGAAGTTGTATATATGCTAATCGGCGAGGGAATTCTTTATATCGCGATACAGGATTAGCAATTCTTACTTTAGTAGTAACTCCGTAGTTCGGTGTGTCTTCATTAGATGGCGTTGTAGTATGTTTCTGTTTTTTGTATGTGGGAGTCGCCACAGACAGAAGCTCAACCAAATCTCTTTTTCTTCTAGGTTCCTCCTAGGGCATTTAAAAGACGACACACTGCTCGCTCTTGAGTTTTTCATGGCTCCGCCTGTATCATAAAATAGAAAAACCAGACACAGAACAAATAATCGCAAACAAATTTTTGTCCTTAGTAGAAACGGGCTCGTCTAGATTCATCATCATCATCATCAGCCTATGGCAGTCCACTGCTGGACATAGGCCTCTCCCATTGTTCTTCTAGAATATTGAAATCATATTTTGTACTCTCTTTTATTCCATTCACGCATTTTAGAATTGTAATATTATTAAATGTGTGATAAAATTATTTTGTTATATTGAAGTGGTTGTTTCGTTTATTTCCAGGTGAGAATTGAGAATATTTATAAAGACTACAGCGGATTCATTACAATAATCTTTCCACGCACAAAAAAAACTTTTGAAGAAATCGTCAATCAATTGCAACTTAAAAATAAAACTAGGGAACGTAGAAATAATAACAATAATGTTTTATATACTAATAGACATTTAATAAATACATAACACAAAATTGAGTTTTCATTCATATACCTTATTACCGGTTCAAATTTCCCAAATTACCGACAAATACTTTTATTAAAGACCTGTTACTGGTATCTGGTACCGGCGACTTTGTTCGCGTTGAATTTGAAAAGAGCTGCCTTTGTGGGTTAGATTCCCGGATCAGGTAAAATTTTAAGGGTTTTTTTCTGAGAGGAAAAATAGCCAAAGTTGCTCCTTATATAGACGGCTACCTGGCAGTAAAATATTATGAAAATCGGTCTAGCCGTTTAGAAGATTACGCTTAACAAACAGACAGACAGGTAGACAAACAGACAAAAAATCTGGTTTATAGGCATAGTCATCGTGCAAGTAACCGTGTGAGCATGAAAAACCTATTATTTTGACATTACAAACAGACACTGGATTTGGTATAGATAAAAAATAAATAAAAAAGAGGGCAATAATAATAAGCATGGGGACAAACGAGCACATGGGTCACCTGATGTTAAGTGACCACCGCCACCCATGGACACCCGCAAGCCAAGAGTCACAAGTGCGTTGCCCCCTTTTGAGTAGGATCAGGTAGAGGGAATATTTGGGATTTTTTATGAGTGGAAACTCATTAAGGACGTCGTCACCTCAGTAGGGTTTGCGACGGGGCAGTGTGTCGGAATCCAGACGCCATAACCACTCTGCGCCTGATATAGGAGGAGATCGGTAACAGCTATTAACTAGACCCTCGGACCCGATGTTGGCTCCAATAGCCTCACACACTTACTGAAAAGCAACGACAGAACTCCTCACGGCCTCAAAGTAAAACCGGTGTTGAGCACCCCGGTTTTGCTGTGAGGCCGTGGTACCACTCCGGTCGAGCCTATTTGTGCTGAAGCATGAATCTCAAACGAATCAAATGCAAGAGTTACTATCAGCCCCCTGATTCTAAGAGGAGTGAGACTCAAAAGGCGGCAGCCACACACTTGTGATCCACACTTAATTACCGTGACCGGACTGCTAACTTGCCCTTGACAAAAAACCTATGGCGTCACAGTCTACCGACGTAAATTCTCACACATAATCTGATTCAAGTTATCAAATTTTTGCAATATATTTATCAATCGCTGGTTTTGCAGACATTTGTATTCGACGCGGCGAGCACACCTGAACAACAGTGAGTTGAAATTTGTTTACAAAATTATTAGAACTAAATATTCTTAAATTAGATATTTTACTATAATATATAGGTATTTTGAAGGTAGCTGACTAATTTCAGGCCGTTTATTTAGGGCTGAAGTGATCACTGCCAAAACTCATAAAACCACGTAATTATATGGCTGTCTGGTACACAGACAGATTAAGCAAGTTAACTCGGGGATAACACTTTTGCCGGTCTTATCCTTTGACTCGTTTCATTTTTTGTACCCTGGACTACTTGTGAAATACATTCCGTGGTGATTGGTTTATATATATAACATTATATGATACTATACTCACATAGTTCTGCGTCGATTGAGCTCAAATTTTAACACGATGTACAAAAAGCTTCAGAGATTGTTTTTGTCTATTTTACGATTTCAATTTGCCACTGCGAAGCATTCGTGTGTCTATTATCTGTTCCACTCCTAAAACTGGAGCAGTAATAATAATGCAATGAATTTCTGTAGTGTTTAATATAGTTAAACGTATGTAATCCAGCAATTATTGACTGCACGGATGGCGTAGTCGTTTAAGCGGTCGCCACGCCGCTTCCTACTGCGCCGAGTGTTGTGGGTTCAAACCCCACATGGGACGACACTTTGTGTGATCCACAAATTGTTGTTCTGAGTCTGGGTGTTCTTTGTGTACGTTTCATGAATGTTTGTAAAGTCCCCCGCGACACAGGATATATTCCTAATGCGGGAGTTGTCTTTTTAAAAAAAAAAAATAATAATAATTTGATTTGTTAAGAAAAGTATTTTCTCAACAAAACACTTTTTCAATCCTTTATCACAAGTAAACCACAGTAAATCACATGGGATGCAATGTTTTTTTAATCATTAAATAAAAGATTGTTTCAAAACAATTAACGCGGGCCATCGAGTTATAATCATTTTAATACATATTATGTATTTATTAGATAACGTTAAATTTATCTATCTTATCAGATAACTGTGTTTGAAGTCTTGTGTTTCTATTAATAACTAGTATTGTAGAATTAAGACTGAATGTTTGAATACTAAAAAATCTAAGTAAACAAAAGATTTGTGTATTCAGACCATCTGATTTATTATTAAACAGCGACATTTAGCGTACTATTATTAGTCCTACGCACAGAATAAGGGTTCTACTGCCTTTATTGAAAACTTCACACATCTGACTGCACGGATGGCGTAATGGTTTAACATAACGTTTAAAGGTTTCATGTATGTTTATAAAGTCCTCTGTGATACATGATGTATTTCTAATGGGGGAGTTGTCTTTTAAAAAGGAAAATAGAAAAAAGAATGGCCTCACATAAAACTAGTGTTCCGCAGTTCTTTCCTTGCTTTCCACCGATTCAGGATTCTCCACCCTGATTCTGGGAGGTGGAGCTCAAATGGCAACGCACTCTTGAGTTGTAGGCGTCCATGTGCGACGGTAGTATAAATAAATGTATAAATATCGTTGGACTCTCGCATAGCATTAGGGAACTATTGGTGAGCATCTTAGATATACCTATTGCCAACAAGGCAAAGCCTCTAGGAAGTGCGAACTACACAATAGAACAGGAGAAATATGGGACAGTTCTCCGTTCTGTCTTCCTGAGTATACACGGACACCACGGGTAGTCAAAATGATTGTGCACATCACACATTTATTGTACTGGGTCCACGACCTCTCAACGGGTAGGATCACTAGTCACAACACGACCTGGCTATATGATGAGTTAAAAAATTCTATAGGCGCGTTGGGCATTTATGTTGTTCAAAAATGCCCAACGCGCCTAAAGAATTTTTATACGTATTCGTAAACAAAAGAATATATTTTTTGAGATGGAAAAAAACCATTGAATTCGCGACACCGTTACCTTTGCCGACACCTCTGTATATACCTACATATCTTGGCCCCGTTTACACGAGAGTTGAGTTTGGGTTGAAATACATGGATACTATAACTATATGTAGTATAAACATATATTGTGTATATACGTACAACATAGATATACTCGTATATTCATTTCGGGTTTTTTCGAATCGAAGAAAACAAACATGAATCTTTTAATCAAATCAAATCAAATCAAATCATTTATTTGTGATACATGGGTTACATACAGGTGTTCATTACATAATTATTAATGATGTTCATTCCATGATCTGCCATTTGGGCATACAAATTATTAAGCAATATATTGATTAATATTTAAAATTATAGTATTTAAAAAAATATGTACATATATTAAAATTCTGATTATTTGATAAAAAAATCATGAAAGATTATATATAAATTCTATTATTACTGTAGGTCATGACATACGCAAGAAATTCAACAACAATCAACGCCAACATTAAACATGGACATGAAACATTTAAAAAAATCGAGTCGATAATTTAAAAAAAAACAGTTTTCACTTCTGTCGTCACTTTTTTTGTAAAAACCTTTATTACTCACAAATTAACCTTGGAGTTTACGCGTAACCATATTATTGATAGTTATCAGTGATAACATAATATATTCAAGATTTTTATCAGTTCAAGTTTAATACATATCTATGGTATCTGGGACGTGTTCTTTAGCACATCTTGTGCCATACAAAAGTGTTTTCTAAGTACTTTATAAACTCTCATTATTCCCCCTTTGAGATAAGAAAAGATAACAGCCACTTTCAGCATCTTTCTTCACATACCTCACCAAGTTCCTCTACTGTTTTGGTACTTCTCGATCAATGGTACATTCTGTTCAAAGGTTTCTGTCTTACAGAATTCGTAAATTATTACTGTACCATCAGAAAGGAATCAAAGAAAACTAATTTTAAGGGATTCTTTTGTTGCTATCACCGCGTAAATGAGGTTACCGGAGACCTTCCTTAATGTGGATGGGGGATACAACGGGCATCAACGCACTTGTGTATTTTAAGTTGGGGTCTCCATGTGCGATGGTGGCACTTACAATCGGTGACCCGTCTAATAGTTTGCTCCACCATAAAGAAAAAGTATGTTTCCAGTTGTCGACCCTTACAAGCCTTCCTCAAGTTTGCTTAATACATATTGTTTATTTATTTACACATCATGCACTTTTGGTGCATTGGTGGACTTAATGCCTAAAGCATTCTCTACCAGTCAACCTTTGGGTGATGCAGACAAAACAGGAAGTAGGTGCATTTTGGTAATGTTTGTTTGTCGTAAACACATACATATTATACATACGTACATAAATACATATAAACTCACATAAATACGTACGTCAATGAATACCATTAATAATAGTAAATGACAATCATATGTCAGTAGATTCTTCCAGTTGTTTTACAAGATAGTGCTTTTATTTAATTACTTTACTTACTTTAGTTTTGAATGAGAAAGTGTTTTGTAGTTTAGTATCCGTGTGGTGACGAATTAGGAATAAGGAGTGTCACCACCCGTATTTATCCCGTGGGTGGCATAATAACCGACTAAGGGAGCAACCTACGCAGTACAACAGCACTGCAAAGAGAAGGAAAACTTGAAACAAACCCTATACCAATCCGTCTGGCCAGCGTGGTATATTAGGCCAGAACCTCCTATCTAAGGAGAGGCCTATGTTCAGCAGTGGACTATCAAAGGCGGTTGACGATAATGTTGCTATTGTGTGAGTCATTGGTTTGGTTTACTTTATTAATTATTAAAACCAGACAGAAAAGGTGAAATAGTTGTTACACGGTATCTGTATAAAGACTTCACAAAAGCCGTACTCAATTATAAATACCGCCAGTGACTGCACATTATTAGTGGACACGTATGAAAATCATTACAGAATACCGGAGGATATCTGTGCCTCGGTGTCCAGACCAGACATATTTCTTTATACAATTTCAATTAAGCGTGTAGTACTAGTAGAACTCACGGTGCCGTGGAAAACTGACATCCCTGAAGACCGCGCTTTAAAAAGAAACAAGTATTTTGACTTAACCAACGAAAGAACTAAAAATGGTTATGTCGTTGCGTTGTATGCCGTGGAAATGGGTGCGAGGGGTATACCAGCTAGACCCTTCAGAAAGCTCTTTTCTTGAACGAATATCCAAAGCGGCATTGCTAGGCTCGTATCAAATATAGTTAGGTAGAGGGGGTAACACAGCAGAGAGTGGAGGTGAGCGCTGACGCGTCGCAAGGAGTCCCTAAACTTATACCTGGGTCGCAACTCCCAGGCGCTGTCGAAGTCGCAGGTGTTGCCCCCATGTATCAGGCGATGGACCCGGCACCCGAACGGTGAATCCATGGAACGCTAAGAAATAGGTCTTTTTGCTGTCGATTTAAAGTTCAACGTTATTAACTCTTAGGACGTCGCGGCGCGCGGATGATCTATGACCCGTTACTGTCGCGCCCTTGAACTAGCGACCCAGTCACAGCTGAGCGAAGTCATTATTACCTCAAAATCTACGTTATTTTATAATTATATTCAATGAAATAAACATATTTGGAATCCCTGATATATATTCTTCTAAATGTTGTGACAGAGACGCTACCGCGTAAAAATTTGGTGTCACAACTGTTGTAACGGCGACGCGTCGGAGGTTAATAAGCAAGAATTAATTGTTATTTCGGTAGGTTCTAACAACAAAACACATATTTTTAATTTCAAGTATTATGTTTGCTGCTTAATAGGTTTATGAGATGTAACAAAAAAAATTTCTCTCTTTCCTGTTGACCGTCTTAATGATTTCGTTTTCGAAAAGGGACGGAAGTTACACTGCGGAAGTTACACAAGTTGCGCACGTGCGTGTTAAAATCCGTGTCTCATAGGAGTGTTGATCATTCGGTTCTCATCTTTTCTTAAAGACTTCGTTATTTAAGTAAAGCGAATTGTATTTATACTAGCATTTAAGCATGCCTTTTCTCACATTAGAGTTACGTACTTTTGTACCCAACTGCCCCAGAAGAAGAGTATTTTTTTTTTTCGATGTGTGTGTTTATATATGTATGTTTTTTAAGGTAGATTTTTGGGTGGGAGATGTCGTTATATTACTCCTAATTGTGAGGTTATCTGAAAATTAAAATTGCTGTTAATTAAATTTTAAGTAAACATTGGGTTTAATGTTTTGTTCTCAATAATTAGCTTATTATTAATATCTCGATTTATGCAAATCACTTATTTTAAAACGTAGAAATATTCGCATATTATCAGTATATTTGCTATCAATATATGACAGGATATATAAACAATGATATGTTGATTGTTATGGATGGTTATATAAGCAAATGGATATAATTTCGTGTGCAAAAGTTACCACCCCAAGGACGTCTACTGCTATTAAGCTGCACGGATGCACGGATGGCGTAGGTTTAAGCGGTCACCACGCCGCTTACTACCACGCTAAGTGTTGTGGGTCCGATCCCCACATGGGACGACACTTTGTGTGATCCACAAATTGTTGTTCTGAGTCTGGGTATTCTTTGTGTCCGTTTCATGTATGTTTGTTAAATTCCCCGCGACACAAGATATATTCCTAGTGCGGGAGTTCTCTTTTAAGAAGACAAAATTCTTCTGTGAGTTAATATAAATAATTTGTGCGGGATTTAGTTTAATACATACAGCTAATAATCTGATAAATTATGATCCTAACCTAAAATAATTAGGATTCTTAGCAGCAATATTGATATTAAGAACCTTTAGGATTTTTATTTTGAAGTTCACTAAAGACAAATGCTACGTACGCAGTGGTAGTCAATTCGTCTGTATAAATATCCATTAGCCCGTAGCCATTGGCATCGGTATAAATATCGGTAGTCTACCGATATTTATACCGACGCCAATGGCCACTCGATGGCATCTCAGCAGTATGGCATAAAATAGCAGAATTGAGGCCCAGGCCAGGCCCATTGACACTCTTTAGGCAGGGCTCGAATTGTTACCTACTCCATATGTCTACACAAAGTTAATGTAATTTATGATGTCATAGTTTACTAACCGATTTATCTTAAACATAATCTGATTAAAGTTATCAATTTCAACAATTTCGCAATATCTTTATCAATCGCTGGTTTCGCAGACATTTGTATTCGAAGACGCGGCGCGCACACCTGGACAATAGTGAGTCGAGATATTTTAATTCATACTTAATTTTAGCAAACGCCTGTCATAAAATTTATTTATTAGAGATAATTGAATTAGTTATGGGATGTTTAATATCCAGATACGTCTCTTAGGAGCGGAAAGGTGAACATCGAAACAGGCAACACCTTAATAGCTTTTATAAATATATTTAAAATGTTTGTAAGTACTAAAGGTAGCATTGATGTTAGTAATCTAATCCTTATTTATTTCGTTTAGAATTTCGATTATGTCTTAGAATTAAAAAAAATAGAATTAAAATTAGAGGTAAGAAAAAAGGAAAGATAAAGTAACGAACAAAACGCTTAATTATTTAACAAAAACAAATTTTAATTATATTTAAATGTGTCCTTGCGTATTTTAATTGCGTGTCATTTTCATTACTCTGGGTAATCAGTTTTATTACTAATGATAGATAATCCCTTCGTCTATTGCGCAAACCCGAATATCGTACGGGTAGTTTTAAAACAGGTTACAGCTATTTCCGTTCATCCGTCTTCCTCCTAAGTTATTAGTATAATAGGTTGTCTTAACAGAACTTCGCTTAAACTTATTGAATAGTTTTGAAAACTCTTTAAAATGAAAACAATAATATTAATTTTCCTGTTGAATTAAACTTTTACAGCACAAAATGTGTTTCCCAAGCCGTCTCTATTTATATTTATATACTCGTATATCATATACCAAGGAAAACTTGAAACAAACCCTATATCAACCCGTCCGTGGTATAGTAGGTCAAAACCTCCTTTCTAAGGAGAGGCCTATGTCCAGCAGTGGACTATTATAGGCTGTTGATGATGATGATGATATACTTAATGTGATTTCATTAATAAGTAAGGATTCGTTATGTTTTTTTCACATTACATATGACCAAACAGTCAATATTTTTTCACAAATCTGTTTGTGTAGGGGCTAATAATCCTGACTCCAAGGCTAACGTCGTTGGTCCGATACCCATTCAGGTTTAATAATTGTGATGATCAGGATAAGTTGTTTTGCTTCTGGGTTAATTTATATAACATGAATCTATTTAGAAAGCAGCCGCCTGATTATCAGAGTGTACGGGCTCAATCTGGTTAGGGTGGTTTATTTAATTTTCCATTTTTCTATGTTTTACTTCAATTTCCTTTTTATTCCATCTTGTTTTCTTTTCATTGCCTTTTAGTCCTTAGAACTTACATACTGGCACACATCAAAACAATGTTGTGTATATTTAATGATGCTATTGTTATCTGTTGATTGAATAGAGAGGCCGTGAGTTTGTTTGCCGATTCTTCTCATGAGGCTCAACCAATTGGAAATGGGCGGTTGTAGATCGGCACAGGCATATAAGAGATTTTCTATACGTATATATTTAGTTTGCTAAATATTTGACAAAACAGAGATTGTTGCTATTGTGTGTGTTGATCTATGACTTTAAGAGTCTACACAAGAGACGATTTCAATAACTTTTTTTATATAGATATTTGAGTTTGAGTTTGGGAGAGACAGCTACACTTGTAAGATGTTAAGCTTTAGTTATCAGTTTGTTTTATAGGATACCACATAATTTATAGGATACCTTTTAAAGTTAATTATTAATAAATTAATCTATACAAATAAATAAAATTGGAGTGTCTGTTTGTAATATTAAAATAACCGCTTTTTACTAAATGCATATGTATGTTTACACGGTACATATGCCAAAATAACATTCTTTACAATTTTTGTCTGTCTGTCTGTCTGTTTGTTCCGGGTAATCTCTGGAACGGCTGGACCGATTTTTACGGGACTTTTACTGGCAGATATCTGATGACATAAGGAGTAACTTAGGCTACTTTTTTTAGACCAGCTTCGCCCCGCGGCGTTGCCCGCGGTTATAACAACATACGCGGGTAACACCGCGGGTCTCAGCTAGTCATTAATAAATTATTAAGTGTTGTATCATTAGCTGTAAAATACGGTGACGCCACCATACAATCTTATCTATTACATTAGGTTTACAAAAGGTGACTAGTGATATATATATTTGCAATACACGTGTCTGTAATCGGTAATCTATATACTCGTATATACCTAAAGATACTCATTTCTTAGACATTTTTGCTGCTTTTAGATAGCAGAGGTTTTTCCGTGTTAGTACGTCATTAATAATGAATGGTACATTGCCAATACTGAGTTATTTCTTAACTAATTAAGTGTCAAGCGAACACACTTGTCACAAATGCCTTTTGTAGAGTATTTTATACCTGAGCGTCTCTCTGACGTCGAGTCTTTCTCAATATAAACATTTTCTGACGGGCCTGTGACTGCGGTAGACATAACTTAGATAGTGACATTAATTAAATTACATAAGAAAAATAATTAAATTCTTTAATTGATAAATATAATTTAGGAAATTTTGTTGATATTTGCATACCGTAAAAAGTAGAACATTGGTACAGTTTGCGTTATCGTAACACCTTTATTTCTACCCATTTTCGCAATTATTTTTTTTTAATTTAGTTAAGAAGTTGGATAAGTAATTAAATATTATGGTGGTTTCTTTAGAATATAATTATTATCACTCTTTCCAGGATCAACATGACTGAGTACAAGTCGTACACTTTGGCAGAGGTTGCAACCCGTAATGGAAAAGGCAGCCAACCCCTCTGGATAGTGTACAGAGACTCTGTGTACGACGTATCTCAATACACACATGAGGTGAGAGGAAGTCTTTTGTAGTTCTTTATTCTACTTTATTTTAACAGTGAGATGAGTTTATCAGAGTAGGAGAATGTGTGGCTTGCTAAACCATGTGCTTCTCTGCTGTCTAGCGACCTTAAGTGTAGGACAAGTATATTAGAATTGTACTAACAGTTATCCGAATCTTTTTAACTAATAGATACATTTCTCATACTACCAAAATAGAGGTTGTAGGTTCGATTCCTACCATCGGCAAATAATTGTATGATGAGCAGGAATATGTATGTATTTAGTATTATATAAGTATGTTCGTGTAGTGACGGATTAAGAATACGGAATGTCACCACCCCTGTTCATCCCGTGGGTGTCGTAAGAGACGAGTAAGGGAGCAAACTGCGCAGGATAACAGCACTGCAGAGAGACGAAAAACTTGACACAAACTCTATACCAACCCATCTGGTCAGCGTGGCATAGTAGGCCAAAACCTCCTTTCTGAGGAGAGGCCTATTTTATGTCCAGCAGTGGACTATGAAAGGCTGTTGATGATGATGATGATGATAATTTGTCTAGAATATGTATGTATTTAGTATTATATAAGTATGTTCAGCAGTCTGGTTACAGTACATCTAATGAGAACTCAGACTCAGTCAAGTTGTTAATGAGGAACTCCTCAGCAGCATGAGCTAATTTGACAGTTCTTTCTATCTTCTATTCTTCGTCTTTTAAGTGATCTTATTGTCCATCGACAGCATCCTGGAGGTGTCGACGCAATAGCCGATTATGCCGGTAAAGATGGAACTAAAGACTTCGACGACGTCGGTCACTCGTCAGACGCCAAGAAAATTTTAACCAAATACAAAGTTGGAGAGATCGTAGAGGTAAGTTGTTTATTATAATAAATAAGTAGGTTATTGGAATACAAGAAGACAGCCTTGCTTCAGCATACATCGACCGGCTCGACCGGAGTGATAGCTTGGTCTCACAGAATACCCGTTTTAAGCTCTTCTTCAGTCCTGCATTTCACTCTGTTTTCTCTCGGGGAGCCTTTCAAAGGCTGGTATCGCATTCTCTTGAGTTGCAGTGTCCATCGGCGGAAAGACATCACTTACTGTCAGCTGACTCTTCTGCTTATTCGCTCTTTATATCTTAAGAAAGGCTCTATAGGTGACTATAAAGGCCATTGACTGTAAAGATGGCGTAGTAGTTTAAGCGCCAGTGCTGAGTGGGTTCGGTCCCCACATGGGACAACACGTTGTGTGATCAACAAATTGTTGTTCTGAGTCTGGGTGTTCTTTGTGTCCGTTTTATGTATGTTTGTTAAGTCCCCCGCAATACAGGAATATCTTCCTAATGCAGCAGTTGTCTTTTAAGTTAAAAATAAATAAATAGGTAGTGTTTGTTTTTGTTTGTTTTTAAAGTAACAAGTAAATAAACCAACTACCGTCTTTAGATCCAAATTAAGAATATCTCGCACTGTGGGTTAAAATACGGATAAACGTAATTAAAATATTATATTTAATAGTGCCAATGTATCTACCAGTGAATTGTAAAAGAGTGGCCATGAGTTTGATTGCCCTTTCTTCTCATAAGGCTTAACCCCTTGGAAACGGGCGGTTGTAGATCGGCACAGGCATATCATAGATTTTGTATGGGTTTGATTTTTGTTAAATTTATTTGGTTACTATTTGACAAAACAGAGATTGTTGCTTTTGTGTGTGTGGATCTATGACTTTAGAGTCTACATGGAAGACGATTTCAAACAATTTTGGAAAATTTATGAAATAAAGAAAGTTTGAGTTTGAGTTTGAAAAAACATATTAAAAAAGTTAAACCCACACTAATTTAAATAGGTAAACATATCGTGCATACAAATATTTGTATCGAGCAAGAACCCGTGACCTTTGATGTTGCAGCCGAACACACTTAATCCTTATCGGTCGTCGAATATGGTGATAAAAATCTAATCATTGGTATGTTATTAGATATTGTGTAATAATATGAGAAAATATTAATTTACTTTGATATTTTAATCACAAAAACATTACCAATTTCAATGCTCCCAGATTTTAGTAAATGTGTGATGAATTGTATTAAACTGTACCCTTTAATTGACATTTATTAATAACATTTAAATGAGAAGAAATCCGTGTGGTGACGGATTAAGAATACAGAGTGTCACCACCCCTATTCATCCCGTGGATGTCATTAGAGTCGACTAAGGGAAAATTAAAACCTAACACAAATCCTATACCATCCTGTCTGGCCAGCGTGGTCAAAACTTCCTTTCTAAGGAGGGGCCTATGTCCAGCAGAGGACTATTCAAGGCTATTAATATAATGTAGTGATGAAGATCAAATAGGACACTCTTACTTAAGAATTGTCTAAATCGGTTCATATATAAAAGAGGTCTGAGGTAAATCATAAAGGCGCCCTTACTCTGAACCTCCCCCTTTTTTTTATAGTTCATTAAGAAGGTAAAATAAATTGTAAAACACTAATTCAATAGGTTTTCGACGTAATATGAACTCCCTACGTTAGTTATAACGAGGTCAAGATAGTACATTTGTCAAAAGCATATTTGATTCAGAAAGCTTGGTTAAAAATTCAATAACTTTCTTGTAACTTTTCAATAAGCTTCAACATGAAGAGACGAAGGTCCTTAGGCGAGATATGATACCCCTCAAATCTATATCAAGCACATTTTTTATTTCGTGTTTTTAACTTTGAAAATGACGAGCTTCCATATAACCGTTCATCCCTTATTTTACCCTCTTAGGGGGGGGGGGAATTTCTAAACATTCTTTGTAAGCGGGTGCTTAAAACATAAAAAGCATTAGCTACCAAAATATTAAGTTGGTAGCGATCGGTCAGTCAAAGCAAGTATTTTTATATGAATGAGATTGAGGAAGGTAAACTGTCAACCATCACGCTATAATCCTTGGGTGTGTAACAGTGACATAGTAACTATAAATCCAAGTTAAACCATTAAATACACTCAGTTAGCACTTATTCAGAGTGGGTTACGATTCAGCCTAAAATATTAATCCTTAAACAGTATCCACTTATAAAGTAAAATTGCACATTTCACCAACGCCATCTATGAATTAAAACCATAACATTTGAGATTTTTACTTAACGTGTGTATCCATACTAATATTATGCGAAAGTGTCTGTCTGCCTGCCTTCCTGTCTGTCTGTCTGTTACTTCTTCACGCTTAAACCGCTGAACCGGTTTAGATGAAATTCGGTATAGAGATAGTCCGAGTGCCGGGAAAGGACGTAGGATAGTTTTTATTACAGAAATTATTCTTTTTTAGAGGGTGAAAAAGGAGGTTGAAGTTTGCATGGGAAATCAAGAACCGCTGAAACGATTTAGATGAAATTAGGTATTTGAATCTTCAGGAAAGACACGCGACATTTACGCGGGCGAAGCCGCTTGCTAAATCTAGCTATAAGTAAAGCTAAAAAACTGTTAAAGAAAGTTTTACTGGTATGATTTAGAATAGCAAGAGATTATTTCCAAAAAAAATTACTATTTAGCATCCGATTTGATATAGTAACATTCTATATGTAAGCACATGGCTACTTTGTTTCATATGCACTATGGTTCCCACTTCGCATTCCTTAGTAAAATAACTATTGCTTTTATTCAATATTAATAACAATTTAGGTGAAACATTTATTCCTATATAAGCACAATTCTTCTCTCCCAAGTGTGAGTGGCTTGCACTTCTAATAAACAATGTTACTTGAAAAGGGTTTGCCAATAACGGGCGCGAAATGTCGATTGTATTGAGAGCGAGGCGCGGTGACGGTGTACTTAGCAGTACATTAGAGGGTCGCTAATGAGTTGTGTGTGGATGTACTTGGTCTCTGCGGGCTTCATAATGAGCTTTAGAGACTGCTGTGCCAGGAGTTTCTCTGTGAGATTGCATATGAACGAAGATTACCGACAAAGCTTAACGGATCAGCGAGATAAGACGACTTTTTACTTCTTTCTTTCTACATCCCGTATAAAAACGATTACTCAAGGAGGGTTTCTATCAGGGAGTCGGCCTGCTGTGGCGACTTTACACACATAGGTGAAACTGCCACAAAGAACACCCAGACTCAGTACAAAAATTTGTGGATGATATTCTACCACATTCACACAACGCCATCTAGTCCCAAACTAAGCAAAGCTTGTACTATGGCTACTAGACAACTGATATAAATACATATATACTTTTTTTTGTAAATACATACATATTATACATAGAAACACCCAGACCAAATCAAACATTAAAAGTTCATCCACACAAATGTTTGACTTGAGTGGGAATCGAACACGCGACCTTTAGAATAGCAGTCCGTTACACAAACCGCTACGCCATCCAGTCGTCGATCGCACAAATCGCACAAAGTGTTGTCAAACACGTGTGGGGATAGAACCGCTTAAACCACTACGCCATCCGCTAGTTTTGATACTTGAATACCGCGTATAATTTGCACAAGTAAATTAACAAAGAAGATACAACTTTAATTAAAAATAATCTTAAACCATAAATGTAAAGTTTCAGTATCAATTTTTATCTGTTACATGGAATAAATCAACAACAGTATCAATGAACGCTTTTGTATCTCGTCGAAGCTCTCACAAAGCACAATGAGTGAGACGTTAGAACAACAGACTATTGACAAATATCGTTCATTCGCGAATGAATGGACTGAATGGCTCTCACAAAGGGGCCCGATAAAACGACGTCCTTGTTTTAATTCGATTACTTATCTTCTAACTTAAATACGTTTTAGTTTACTTAACTAACAAACTTAAATGTAAGTAGTTTTCGAGTTCAGTATATTTGATACAAACAGAATTGCTTCTGTTTATATTTCTACTATCTGACGTCTGTCCGTTTTTTAAAAGGAATAAATTTCCCCCATTTTTGCAACATTCCTTATTGGTGCTCCGCTCCTATTGGTCTTAGCGTGATGGTATATAGCGTTTAGCCTTCCTCGATAAATGGGCTATCTAACATTGAAAGATATTTTCAAATCGGACCAGTAGTTCCTGAGATTAGCGCGTACAAACAAACTCTTCAGCTTTATAATATTATATATATAGATTATCAGTATTATGTCTATACTTAATATAAATCAAAATGATGATATCTGTAGGTGGCGGTTACACGTATGTTACCAGTAACTCATTAAATAGACGATCGCCCTAGAGTTTAATTTAGACATTATTTATTTTATTTAAAATATTCATTGCTTTACTTAGAAAGATCTTCAAATGACCACAAATATAGACCAAAAAACAATTCTTTTTCTTCAGATAACTTTATTTGTATCTTTATATGTATGTATCCGTTAAAATCATTACATGAAGAACATTACAGAATGAATGAATCTTTTAAAGTTATACTTAAAACTACTTACACGTTTTTCATGAGGGCTATTATACAAGCCTCAAAGATCAACACATATTTTTATACTTAACACATAAATATTTCTATTTACTGACAGGTTTTCCAGTAAACGATGCATGCAAAAAGTTACTTTTAGCAATAAGCATTGACGTATTCTATATTTAACTGTTCCTTTTACAGGAGGAGAAGAAATATGACGCTAACGGTAAAAAGAAGAAGCGTGTAGTGCCCGTCCAACCAGGCAAGCCGGAGACCCGAAGTTGCTTCAACATCATCACGTGCGGGCTCATCGGCTGACCGCGCGCTTCTGACCGAATCCGTTAGAATAAGCACTTAGGTTAACATTCTCGTAATATAGTGTATAGTGCAAGTGTGCGTTCGTCCGTGAATCTGAATACAATCTGACACTGGAGAAGGGGAAGGCATAAGATATATGCTCCTAATGGAGTTTTTAATATACCGTTTTACTTTTTTCTTTTGTTTATTTATAAGTTAAATTTAAAAAAATAAAATTTTATTTTTATAATGCTTAATGGTTATTTGTTTTATATTCTTTGCCGTGGGCAGGCCATGCTTCGGCATAGCACGCCCTCACAGGAAACCACTGTTGAGCACTTTTGTCGCTGTTTTTCACCAAGTGATGGAAGAAATCGGTGCCCCAGAAGTCGCAGGGTCCCCTCCCTTTCATTTTGGAGGTGGCTGCTTTCAAAGGGTAGTAATGCACTTGTGTATCTAAATTGCACGTGTCCACATGCAGCGGTGGTCACTTACAATCCGGTGACCCATCTGCTTGTTTGCTCCTTTGCTCCATGTAATCGCTTCTATATGAGACAAAGGATGAAAGCAAACTGGAGTAAAGTAAACAGATAAGAAGAAGGGGTAAAGAATACAGCAGTTCTCAAACAGAAGACAGAACTAAAACTGTAGTAATTCCAGCTACCTCAGGTGAAGACCTAAACCGAATAGCCAGAAATTACACAGTTCTGTGTGGTGACGGATTAAGAATAGACCGTGTCACTACCCCAATTCATCCCGTGGGCATCGTAAAAGCCGACTAAGGGAGCAGACAACAAATAGTTGTTTTTGAGAGTTTCGTTTGATTAAATTATAGGGTAGTTTCAACGCACTAATCTGTGAATCTATCAGCCAGATTTGAATAACTATTTTTGTATTAGACTAGTATTCACCAAGGAAAGGTGTATAGTAAGAATTATCATGTTACTATTTTAAGGAGTAGAGCAGTGACTATCGAACATGTAGAACTGAAGTATAGAGGGTAGAAGCAAGGAGAACCATCTCTGTACATGAAAATTATCCGTAATTAAGTCAATGAGTTTTACGGACAATAAATAAACGTGTAGTAACTTTAAGACAACAAGAAAATTAGACTCGGCACACTTTACTCCGTCTTCAACAGCTATGTACATATAGTAGTTTTTCGTATGCCAGCGGCCTCTATTTGCAGTATACAGCTGGACACTTTTTCTAATGAGATGGTTCTCCTTGAATCATCTTCATCATCAATCATCAACAGCCTTTAATAGTCCACTGCTGGACATAGGCCTCTCCTTAGAAAGGAGGTTTTGGCCTACTATACCACGCTGGCCAGACGTGTTGCTATAGGGTTTGTGTCAAGTTTTCCTTCTTTTTGCAGTGCTGGTGTCCTGCGTTGTTTTGCGCCCTTAGTCGGTTCTTACGACACCCACAGGATGATTTGGGGTAGTGACATTCCGTATTCTTAATCCATCACTACACGGACACGCTCTATAAACTGCAGGGAACATCTTCCACAGATAACATATATAATCAAATAAACCCATCAATAGATAGTTTATTTTACACTTTAAATTTGTCTAAATCTAAGGTATTTATCTCAATAAAACATACATATATACAATACTTTTACAGAATATATAGTTATTCACATCAACAGCCTATATTAGTCCACTGCTGGACATAGGCCTCTCCTTAGAAAGAAGGTTTTGGCCTACTATACCACGCTGGCCAGACGGGTTGGTATAGGGTTTGTTTCAAGTTTTCCTTCTCTTTGCAGTGCTGTTGTAATGCTTAGTTTGCTCCCTTAGTCGGCTCTTACGACACCCACGGGATGAATTGGGGTGGTGACAATTTGTATTCTTAATCCGTCACCACACGGACAGTTATTATATATTATAAAATCAGTCAAGTGATGTCTCGAAAAGTTTCTGGCAAAGCATTAAAGCCCTGCAGATTATAATGTATAGTGTACCTACTGAGAAGAATTGTACGATTCTTCTAAAAAAAATATGTAATTTTTAAGTTAACCATAATTTTATATCAAGTAGGTTATTGATTCTTTATTTGGCTTCGATTAAGAATTCGGAGTATCACTACCCTTATTCATCATGTGGGTGTTTTAAGAGCTGACTAAGGGAGCAAATTACGCAGGACAACAGCACTGCAAAGAAAAGAAAAACTTGAAACAAACCCTATACCAATCCGTCTGTCGTCTTACAGTAGGCCAAAACCTCCTTTCTAAGTAGAGACCTGTGACTAGCATTTGACTATTAACCCCTGTTGATGATGATAATTTGGCACTTATAACATTGACTATAATATACATGGTACCTTAATATTTTACGAAACAAAGAAAATTGAGATACAAAAATTACATATGGTTCAAAACATTTTCACATGCGTCTGTATATATCAATCATGTCGAAATAAATAACTTATCATATACTTCACACAAGAGCAGGCGAAGGGCGAACCAATGCGATTACATTTTAAATCCGTCAGCGCAGTCCCAGGGCGCCGCCTCGACTGATTAGAACGTCTACGAAACGTCTAATTTACTGTTTTTAATTAATTTTACACATTCGACACTAAACGTCTCTCCAGCCTTTTCATGTGGAACCTTATTAACCTTATTAAGCTTAAAAAAAGGAATTCAATAATAAAAAACATTTATTTAGGTAGAAGACAATGGAGAGATTACTTAAACAACAGTAAAGGAAACGACAAATACTGCGCAAGTCAGTAAATAAAACAATCTGTTATTAATTATTTTTTTATGGTATAAGGGGGCAAACAAGCAGACGGGTCACCCAATGGTAAGCAACTACCGCCGCCCATGGAAACCTGCAGCTCAAAAGTCACACGAGGCATCGGGAGCGGCTCCGGTAACCTCACTCACTCAACGACTCACTGAAAGGCAACGAAAGAATTGCTTAACACCGGTTTTCTGTGAGGCCGTGGTATCACTCCGGTCGAGTCGGCCCATTCGTGCCGAAGCATGGCTCTCCCACGGTAAGATTAATAATAAGGTAATTTCAATAATAAGCCTTTTGTCTTCAGTTTTATGCTATGAATGTGTTATATTATAATTAAAATTAGTACTATAAGGCTTCTATTCTAAATAAATGTTATCATCACCTAAATTTCTATGATAATAATAATATTTCGGACATCTGACACACAACGCCATCTAGTTTCAAACTAAGCAGAGCTTGTGCTATGAAAACTAGACTGACTGATAGAAATACTTATATAGTTTGTTTTTTGTAAATATACACATACATCATCAACATCCTTTAAAGTCCACTGCTGGACATAGGCATCTCTTTAGAAAAGAGGTTTTGGCCTATTGTACCACGCTGGCCAGACGGGTTGGTATAGGGTTTGTCACAAGCTTTTCTTCTTACACATACATAGAGACACCCAAACTCTAAAACAAATATTTGCAGGTCATACAAACATTTAGTCCGACCCGGGAATCGAACCCGAGACCTCATCACAGCAGTCGTATACGCTACCACCAAGACTATAACAACATACTTCAAATTTGCCACAAGTTCCCATTTGGCGGCGATCTCCTTATTTACATTTATGTAAGCACGATCGAATTATAGTCAACAAAATATATGTGTTAAGCACGCCTCTACCTACCCCTTAATACATACTGGTGTAATAAAATGTATGAATATACGTACATTGTGTAAGTAAAATTGTTGAAAAACATTCTCCGTTCCACCTGCTGAGCTAAGTTAACGCCTGCTGTGTTATTGTAAGTAAAATATACCTTTGAAAGCACATGATTATAATTAACTGGCTACATTAAGATTATTGTTTGACTTACGCTTGAATTATGAATAAATTCACCTCGAATATTAATTTTACGTATAGGATTGATAGGATTGTTATTATAAACCTGAAGAGTTTGTTTGGTTGAACGCGCTAACCTCAGGAAATACTGGTTCGAATTGAATCTCTTGATGGCCATGGTTGAATTCACAAAGTGAGTGAAGGTACCGGGGGCAACTGTACCCCTCCCCTTCATTCTGAGGGAGGGGACGATCAGGTACCACAAAAAAGTCGTTGATGAAGTTTTAGGGTTTTGTTTCAATATTTTATTAAAATTATGCTATGGATCCTTTCAATACAACACAACACATAATCGCTGGTTTTTAAATTTAACTTACCTATACATTTTCCAACAGTTAAGATTTTTATTTCTTTTTTTAATAATTTAATGCATCTGTATTATATAATAGATAAAGTAATCTACAATTAAGTCCACCAAGAAAAGTAACTGGTCCGTGTGGTGACGGATTAAAAATACGGAATGTCATCACCCCTATTCATCCCGTGGGTGTCGTAAGAGGCGACTAGGAACGCAAAACAACGCAGGACACCAGCACTGCAAAAAGAAGGAAAACTTGACACAAACCCTATACCAACCCGTCTGGCCAGCGTGGTATAGTAGGCCAAAACCTCTTTTCTAAAGAAAGGCCTATATCCAGCAGTAGACTAGTAAAGGCTGTTGATGTGATGTGATGTGATACCACGCCAGATATAGGGTTTGTTTCAAATTTTCCTTCCCTTTGCAGTGCTGATGTCCTGCGTAGTTTGCTGCCTTAGTCGGCTCTTACAACACCCATGCGATAAATAGGGCTGGTGTCACTCCGTATTCTTAATCCGTCACCACACGGATAAAAATAGATACTATGCTATATTTCTACATCATCATCATCATCCTTCGAGGTCTTCCTCAAACTAAGTTGGCTCGGTTTTCAGTGTACTGCGACACGGCACAACTTACATTTTTAAGAGAGGGACGCGACTTCCATCAGACCTACTCGTCAGGATTGCCACAGATGTTCTTATGGCAACCGGAACGACGGCTGAACGTGCTTTCCGAGACAGGGGTCTTAATGTATGAAGCATGGCGTTTCATAGACTGACCTGGTTGGGATGCAATGTGCTAACCTTCTCGATTCCCACCAGAGCCCTTCACTATGTTGTTTCTACATTATATTAAAACTAGCTGACCCGCGCAACTTCGTCTGCGTCTCTCAATAGTAATAAATTTTCTCCGTTTTTGAAACATTCTTCATTGGTGCTCCGCTCCTATTGGTCTTAGCGTGATGATATATAGCCTATAGCCTTCCTCGATAAATGGGCTATCTAACACTTTTCAAATCGGACCAGCAGTTCCCGAGATTAGCGCGTTCAAACAAACAATCAAACAAACTCTTCAGCTTTATAATATTAGTATAGATAAGATTTGGGCCAGGACTTCACTCGCAGAACATTGAGATTTTTAACTTCGGGAGTAGCTGTTTCTAATAGGTACTTAAGTATTAACACCTCCTTTGGGTTGACCGGTTTGTAAGTTAAATACTAGTAATAGGTACTATGTTTAAAGACCTAAGTACATCAATAATGGAACGTCATGGCTCCCTGTGGACGTCTGCGAGACCATTCGATGGTTCTATCCATTACATGTACGTGACTGTCTGGGTTGGCTTCTAAACTACCCACTTGTAATTTAAGAACATACTATTTGTGATAATGTTTTGACTATTAATTAACAAGAGAGAACTATTTAATTATAGAAATCAAATCGGTAAGGAAAAGAGGTGCCAGTTACTCACTTTAACAGGTTTATATATGATAGAATCTACTAGCGACTAGCTTCGCACGGGTACAAAAATCTGAAATTCTCGATTTCCTCTGCTATAATATGCACGTATTATACATAAAAACCTTAATCTGGAATCACTCTCTCTATTAATGAAAACCGCATTAAAATATCAAACAAAGTATCAAACAAAAAAGTATAAATTATAAAAGTATCAAACACCAATTTCTCACATTCCACACCTACGTATTTTTTTATTTAAGTGGTATATTTGAAAAGTGTTTAACTCATTTAAATATTAATATTTAAATGAGCTAAACACCTCACTTAAGTAAATTGAACTTAAACAACCTTAATGTCGAATGAAAGAATCAAATATTATTTATATTTGATTGGTAGTTTTGATATATTACCTACTCAGCTATTTGTTTTCTTTTAGTTAATAGGTATACCTATGTGTCGTATTGTGAGTAGTTATGGATGGAAAAAAATTTTGAAACCAGATACTTTCCAGCACCCCAGAATACATTTAAATAATATTTATTTGTCCAAAAATACAAAAGTAAAAGGTATATGAAATAGTTAAAAGTATATAAAATCATTGTCATCAGTGTCATTAATATTCTCGTTATTTAACCCTAAAACTATTTTATTAGTAACGAAACTCAAAAACAGGTAGTGACATCTTGTATTATAATAAATAACTGCTTTGGTTTAAACAGCAACTATAATTGATGAATGCTTTATGATTCAACACAAAATATTAATAGGCTACAATTAATAGATAAAACGATATTATATTTTAGAAAGGAAATAAAAACTAAGCATAACTAAAATTAAATTAAAAAAAATACTTTAATAGTAAATTGTAGTAAAACTTAACTTAGTGACATCTAGTGACTGTATAACAAATTATAAAACTCGAAAAGGCAAAGAATGCTATAGAACGTTCTAATTCGATAAAGTGCTCATAGAGGGCGCTTAACAAAATATATCTAAGTACTTTTATTTTTACGGAACTTATCTTGAATAGGAGTCAGTTACTACGAAACATTTTAATTACACACCATTACAAAAAATGTTGTTTGCAAGGGACCCACTTCAACTCTCCATCTATTGCCTAGACAAAAAGAACTGGTGCTTAAGATGCTGGAACTAACAGTGTCGGGTTTGATTCCTATGTCTTGTGTGAGATTTTTCTCTATGGCCTACTTAAATTCTTGATGAATAGACAATGATAATCATGTATTACAAATTGGTATTGTCGTTACGTAACGTTACCGCCACGAGGCGGGTAGGAGCTCGAAATGAAAGTTGCGCGTATCCAAATCGTTTATTCAAGCAAATGAACATAATATGAACAAACTATAACATTAAATTTATCTACTTAATGATATTTACATTCCATACCTCGCTTACCTTATTATTTTTATGATTAGTCTACGTACGTACATCTAGGACACTTACTCTAAAAAATAATAAAAACGCAGAATATAATCTATCAGAGAATCAACAGTTAAATAATAAAAATATTTAATACAATAAAAATATTATTTGCTATTTTATACACGATATACTGAAGACGAGACTTCTTTGATCATGCATCCATTCACACCAAGCATTACATTCTGCATTTTTATCATAATATTATTAAATACGGAACAGTTATCAATAGCTTTATCAATGAAATTGTCATAGTTTAAACGGAGGTGCCATCATCTAGGTAGATCATCACCTACTAATTCATTCAAGTTTATATTGCACCCTGGCTGGGATAACTGAGATGTCAATAGTCCTAATTATTAGCCTCAGACAGCTCATCAGCTCAGGAAGGAACACAAAGCATGAGTGAGGTACCTCCACATCAACAAAACTCCATAAAATCAACAGCTGGTCATATAAAAACAAACAATGGATACTATGTTGTGATTTAATTAAAACTATGAAACAAGTCAACCGTGTTTTCAATGGCTGCACTAAAATGAGTCCACTTTGTGAACTTTTACCTATCAACTGACTGCAGCCATTCAAATCAGGGATATATTTTGATATATTATACTTTATATCAGTTTAGCATTCTACTTGCACACATTATGTCTGAAAAACCATTTCAGCATTGAGGGAATTCTTTGGAAACTTAATGCGGAAGACATTTTTAATTAAAACAAAAAAAATTGTCTTGTACTTGCAGAGTCCAATTAATATATTATTATCTTTTATTATTAAGTGACAATTAGCACAATTTACTGGTTGATGGCTTTATATGAACCCAGGATTCATTTTTAGAAAATATTTACTAAACATAGTTGCATAACAAAATCCAATAACATACAAAAATATCTAATTCAAGTAATAAAACTTAAGTCTTACAATTAACATGAACTCAATGTGTGTATTTCATGTGATAGTTACAATTTAATACATCACTTTACAAACGTCTCGTCCAGTCCAACATCTGAGCACAACTGCACAACAGGCACTTAAGTGTAAATTCCTAGTCAAGCCACATCTAGTGAGAACTCATGGTATTATTGCTTGGCCTTACTACATCACGGACACAAATTAGAACAAATTCAAGAATCAGTGCATATTCACATAAATCTATATAATTATTCTATAAGAGTAAATAAAATATTTTCAGTAAAAACTCTATGAAGACATTTTCTTCATAGACCCATTTAACATACAAAAGACTCAATATACTATATTTTCAATATGATTTAGAATATACTGTAGTCCGTGAAACACACTCAGTGTTTTATATTGAAATTTACACTCAGACACACCACCACTTTCTCATCAGTCACTTTGTGGGCACAACTCACTCGGCTCTTGCACATCTGTTTACAGACACCGTACAGTGTCTCAGTCAGGCGCCTCTCACTGCTGCTGGTTGGACTGCGCCGCTTGGCTCGCCGACTTCGTTATCACGATGGTCTGCTTGCCGCCTACGCCGGATTTACCCAACTGTAGCATGTTCGAGGGCAGTGTAATGATTTTGTTGCCTCCAACAGTATTAGTGGAGACCAGCTTTACGATAGTAGCGCCGGGTGCGAGACCTTGCGATTGCGCCGTGTTAGCAGGTGTTGCTTGTCGGTTCTGCATCATAGCTACCTTTGGCATGGTCGCCACCGTCATCCCTGTCGACGTTTTCACCAGCGTTACATACTGAGGGGTCGCACCTGACTGTGCGTTAGCGCCAGGCGTCTTCTTGATGATGACTGGAATGCCTGCATTGCCACCAGCCTGCCGTAGGACCGTAGCACCTCCTGCAACTGTACTTGTCGTTACCGTTGCCGCTTGTTCGCTTGACTTTGCCGTCACAATTTTATATACGGGAGTTTTCACTTGCTGGCCTGCGAGCGCGCTGCTGGCTATCTGTATCGTACCGCCACTGCTGGCTATGACTGGTAAGTTACCAGCACCCAGTTTCACAGGAACACCTGCACCAACTTTAGTCTGTAGATTGGCGACACCCGCTTGGATGGGAACGCCGCCTGCTGTCTTTACAAGCACATTACTTGTACCAATCTTGACATTCCCAGCCCCTAGCTTAAGAGGCAGGTTTGTTGTGCCTACTTGGCCAACTTTATGAACACTGTTGGTCGTTATCTTGCCTTGAATGTTAGCCGCACCGATTTTCAAGGGTACAGCGTTTCCAGATAGTTTCACAGGCATATTACCAGCGCCTAGTTTGACAGGTACGCCGCCGCTACCCCCTGTCTTGACTTGCACAAACCGTGGCGCGTTGGCGGATGCAGGGGAACCTAATACGATCTGTGCATTGGACTGAGCTGTCGAGACGCGCACGGTGCCTGGCGTCCCAACACCGCTCACAATTCTCGTGATGCCTTGCGGCGTAACGGCCGCTACTTTGATTTGCTGGGAAGAGCCGGCTGTTGCCGTCGCAGCCGCTGGTGATTTAACAACTGTTTTAGCCTGGTATGTAGCTTGTTTGAGAGTGGGAGTGTTGGGTGAGATTTTGACTGTAGCCTGTGCTGGCATTTTGATAGTTGTTGGAACAATCTTTTGTGGAGTCATTACAGTGGTCGTGGCAGGCGAGACCGTAGTGGTAGTGGGCCGCGACGGTACCAATGGCATGCCACTGGCAACAGGTGAAGTGACACCAAAGGCTTTGATGACGTCAGCCGGACTGGGCAAGGCAACAGGTGATGCTGGCGGTGGCGCCGTTAGTGGCTCAGCAGCTGACGGGAAGCGCGCTGGTGTAACCTTACCGCATTTCTGTACTTGTAGAAGAAAAGTTGTAACTGTATTCATTTGCGGCCAACACAACTCTAATGAAGTGGTGCCCGCTCTTACAAGTGCTACTCTATTTGCTTGAGGGGGTACTCCGACCTCGAGGTACCATAAATCCTTGCAACAGATCTGATTGTTCCATGTTTTCCGGTAGCCATCTCTGCCAGACCAAATATACAGTCTAGTTTGAATGGCAACAGCGCTGTGGCCAGCACGAGCTCGGGGTACACATTCTTCAAATTTGTCCAAAGCTATATTATCCCAAGTCATAGTTTCTAGGTTCAGTGAAGCCAATGTATTGGTACATTTCCACTCCTTCTCATGTGTGGCAAGTTTTGATTCATCAGGCACTAATGGTACCCAGCCACCGTAGACATACATGTGATGACCGATGACCGTGGCAGTGTGAAGGGACCGAGGTAGAGGCGGAGGACCTCCAACCTCTGGGCGTGACCACGACATACTTTCCATATCGAGCACCCACAAATCTCCAAGTCGCGAGCCACTCATACCACCATAAATAATCAATGAAGATTTTCCTGAATTTCTGTCAGTGTAGGCTACACCACTGTGAGACTCACGAGGAGGCGGTGATTGTCCATATGTCAAAGGTATATCCCATACTGTCATAGAGGAGTTTGGATATAATTCTAAAGTGTACAAGTCATTAAGGTATCTAGGTATGTTGTTTTTGGGGTCGTCACTCTCATTGGCTAGACCGCCAAATAAATAAACCATTCCATTAAGAAGTGTAAAGCTGTGGCCGAGCCTTGGACAAGGCGGGAGCCCTTGTTTAGGCGGTAAAGGCTTCAGACGCTTCCATTCCCACCGTGATGCCTGTAGTTCGTAGAGATCATTAGAATACTTGCCGTACTCCACCATGCCGCCAAAAACGAGCAGACGCGTTCCGTCGACAACGAACCCGTAAGCAGCGCATCCTGGAGGCACTTCTCCTTTCGTGACTGGGACGAACCATTGATTTGTGGTGGTATTGAAGACGTGAAGCTCATGAACTATCCCTTCGTTTCCGCCGCCGAAAACTATCATTAAATCTTTTATGGCGACCGCGCGATGGCCATGGCGAGGTCGGGGCTGCGGGCCGGTGGGGTTGTAAACTTTTTGCCACTTAAGTACGGCGTTATCCTTCATTTTTACTATACATTTGTCACTAAAAGCTTTACACCGTATGTATCGCTCGGGATGCGTATCTACAGCATAGACAATGAGAAACGTCGTAAATAAGCTTTGAAGAAAATATTCGGATAACTAGAAGCTACGTAAGTCAGTCTAATTCGAACCTCTCTTTCACACACATTGATGGCCGCTATGAGTAAAAAAAAATCACCTTATGCAGCTTCTACTGTATAACAAAAATGGCGTTAGCAACAGCGCTACCAACATAACGCTCATTAAAAGAACGGCGTCGGACGTCAAGATCTTGTCTATGTCTTCATATAGTTTTAAAATATTCAGCCAGAGAATATACAGTTTTTTCTTTTTTAGTATAAACATTATAAAATTAGATGTAGGTATGTTTGATGCCATTAATATGGTGTTTTTAATGAAAAAGCAGTTAAAGTATTTTATGCAAACATCAAGAAAAACAATGTCATTAAAAATAATTTTTCCTGTCTTTATTACTTACTCAATTAAAAGCACAATACGCACAATTCACAATTATAAGAAATCGGTGTAAACCTTGTATTTCATTCAATAAGCGCTTTTGAGTGTAGTTTACATAATAAAAAAGTGTATTCCATATTTTCAAATTATTTTTTCTATTTCTATCAATAATATGGTATATAAATAAATATTATTATATTCACTAACAAATTTTGATTGAATTTAAAATACTACCTCTATAGAGCATAAAAAATCTCTCAGGCGGAAAAAAGAACGAAATGGATTAAAGAAGAAGAAAATGATCAGTGATACTAGTGATAGATAGGGGAAGGAATGAGACTTCAAGGCTTATGTCATGTAACTTCATGTCCATCCTTTGATTGAAAAGGTCATTACTGACTTTATTTAATTATTTGTTAATTTTAGACAAAGTGAAAATTAAATTAGCCTATATTGATTTCCAAAATTACAATAAAAATAATTAACAATTCTTTAGAAGAAATTAAAAAAACACTTTTTCATAAATATCTCAAATAATATCAAAACACACATAAGCTGCAGGGCTTTAATGCTTTGCCAGAAACTTTTCGTGGAGCACAATCACACTGACACTTTGTATTCTTAATCCGTCACCACTCGGACAATACCCACAATGAAATATATTTAAGACATTTTTATTTATTGTTTTTTTTTTGCTGATAATTTTGGAAAATATTCAAAAATATTGAGCCATCGCTGGATATTTGGTAGATGTGAACTGAAACTTTGAAATTTTTTGTAGAAATAATGAATTGCCTTACAAGTTAATTACATTTATTATTATTACACCATCGACTTCAGTGCCTTTATTGGTTTTCGTTATTTTTTCTACATTCAAACATCCAACGGGATAAGGCCAGCTGTTGGCGTGGTGACGCATGCGACGCCGTGTGATAGTAAAATGAAATATGTGATAGTAAATGAAACTGGTGTGGTCGTGTGGCGACACACGTACAATATTATTTTTTATCATTAACATCAAACATTCGAATAACTTGTTAATAATTAATTTTATTCAATGCAATAAATGAAATTCTTTATGAATACGAATTTAAAAATATGTAATAATATTTTTCTGACTAAAATCAGTTCACGTTATTTTCTGGTCATCGTATTAGTATTTCGTGTCTATGGATAATAAATTCAGATTGACATGGATCCGAACGCTGACTATTTGATAATGTTGGCACCTCTGGTATTAAGCGCGGTAAAGTGGAGCTAGTAAAACTTTATTTTGGTGGTTTTCGTCCTAATGATAAAATGATATTATCTATTTATAAAATAAATATTCAGTCTGTATTTGGGTGCAAAATTGATCTTTATCTCATACATTTCCAACAGTATATTTTTCTAAACTACAATGATTGATTACATTACCGTTTTACACTTGTGCAAATATGTATTGAAAAGTAATTAAATCTAAATATGAACGAATCTATCAATATTATGTAAATGAACAAGTTAACAATGTGATCAGAACCTTGGATACGTAGGGATCAAAAATTACTGTAAAAATACTGTAGTTCATAGTCAATTGAATTTGTAGGTAGGTACGTGCTTCTGGTATTTCTATCAAGAGTTTTAGCTATAGTTACACTAATTGGATTATCGAGATCTGTATTTTCTTTTCATGTACAAAGATTATTCTGTCGTTATAATTGTATGTTTTAATTTTATTTGGCGATAGTTCAACATATACACACGTCTATAGCTAATATGATGCAATTTTAATTGTAAATGACATGTACCTACTATAAAAGTGGACTCAAAAGATATATTGAATTGTTTTTACTTATTTTCACATTTAATGACAAGATTAGTAATTTTAACAGTAGGTACTGATGTTAATTAATTATTTTGTAACAAGAAATGTAATAAAAACGCCTAAAATTATATTTATAGCATTAAAAAGTAAGACCTCAACTAAGTTTAAAAAAAATTAAATGCACAATAGACAAAAAAGTACTACCATAGTATATAGAACAACATTGTAGTAGGTATATAATAATTTTTATTTGTAACAAATTATTAATTTAGTTTTAAATTTAAGCTTTAGTGCTCAAAGTACAGAGGCGGACTTTGAAGTTCGATCGGATGATAAAGAAAAAATAAAAAAACTAGTGTGCTTTAGACTGAAAATATGTGCTCGCACCTCTCTCTCTTGCCCCTACAGTAATATACGAAACGTAACTCTCTCTCTCTTTCTATCTTCTCTAACTTATATCTCCCTCTCAATTTCCGTTCGCCTTGCCCGATCTTACTTTTTGTAACGCTCTCGTTACGCATTCACCAGCTTACTCTCCAAGTGTGTAAAGAAGTTTTACTTCAAAAGGACGCGCATTGAAAACATAAAATCTAATATAACACAATATGCTTAAAAAATAAACATATGTGTGTATATATTGCATAAAAATTATATCTTGAATATTTTCATACATACAGGTATTAGGGATACTTTTAAGGTAGCCTTTCTTCATATCCTGCTGATCTGGTCAGGGTTTCTTTCGGGGCTCGCAGCGAATCGTTCAATCACAGAAGCCTTCTAAACTCTTTTAGTCATTCGTTCTTCGCTCATTCTTTCAACATTATCACAGCATCTTCTTTCAACCTAAATGTTTTCAAACCTCGTCACCATATAATATCTTTCAAACAGAGTATTTATGAAACAAGGTATATTTAATTAATATTCAGATTACAATTTGAAATGTCAGTTCGACTACTTTTTGTATTTTGTTATTTATATGTTTGCGTTTTGTGTATAAAAAAAGACAAAAAAAAATGCACATAAAACGCCACACTAATCCGATAGAACCTCTACAAACTTACGAATTGTACGAGTTCAATTTCATACTTCGTAGATAAGCTTGCTTTAAGTACTTTTATACTTCTTCAATTTATTCATTCGTAAACAGTTTAATCTGTGTGGTGACAGATTAAGAATACGGAGTGTTATATGTAACTATCCCGTGGGTGTCATAAGAGCCGACTAAGAGATCAAACTACGCAGGACAACAGCACTACAAAGACAAGGAAAACTTGACACAAACCCTATACCAATCCGTCTGGCCAGTGTGGTATGGTATGGTAAGGCCTATGTCCAGCAGTGGACAAATTAAGGCTGTTGATGAAGATGAAACAGTTTAATTTAAAACTTCACTTAAAATAATATACTATACTGTTACGGGTATATAAGTAGTCGGTTAAGTACTTTATTTCACTGTATTTACGTTTGTAAATACAGTGAAATAAAGTAATTAACCGAAAACTTTTAAGGGTGTGTAGTGAAGTGAGTGTTTAGTCACTGTAATAAACTAGAAATCACTATATATCGGACTAGAAATGCACTTCGATGTTAATTTGCTGTGTCGTAAAACGAGACTGTGTCGATCGGTCAAGACGCTCCGCTTTTATTGCGCTTTTGAATTTTACTAGAAAGTTCCTAGTATTCGACAGTCCGTTCCAAACAAATACGAATATTCCAGAATCAGTTCCGCTGTCAGAATCAGAAGTACTCGTATTAACTACAATCTTAATAGATGTGCTTTAGTCGATACTAGATGGCGCTGTCCTCCACATATCATACAATCGAACCATTTAATCATGTGGTGGTGCAACAATACTATATGCTTACAAAGGTTATATTATAATTTTAGAGCTTATATTTAAATAAAAGTGAGATTTCGCTATCTATCTAATTTTGAGGGGCCTGCCGTGAGTTTGATTCCCACCCAGGGCAAATAATTATGTGATGAGCATGATAATTTATTTAGTATCTGGGTGTAATTTGTCTATTTAAATAAATAATGTGTATGTATTTAGAAAATATGCACAGGCTATAAGTAAACAGGCTTTGCCAAGTTTTAAATTGAGACGGCCGTGAGTGAGATGAGTCAAGATACTTGTAAAATTGTTATGTAGAAGAGATTATCAATCGCTGAAAGATCGAAAGTAAACAAAAACATAACTTGTTAGTTATAAAAATGTGCCAAAAATATAATAAGAATAGAATTTAGTCAATTACTTCGTGATTATTTGATTATAAAACTTTAGGAAGAAGTGTAGCAATAATGATTTCTGTGAATTGCTCTTAAAAATTTGTAAGGCGCTTTAAAAATTTATTTATTTATTAATACATTTACTATAGAACAATTCACAAAAAAATGGAGTTATTAGCGATTTCTGCAGTAAGCTCATGGCTTGTATCGCGGCAACCAAGTGATTTCACAATGCTTATTGTCATTTTGTAACTGTGGGCCTGGCTGGGTCGCTAGCCGTGGTCCGGATGTCTTAATAACAGTTGTTTCCGGACCCCTCCTATTTAAGGCGCCGAGTGGCACACCATTTGGTTTTGGTCGGTTCGCCGGTCACCGGTTCGCAAACGTCGGTGGGTGGCGGCCCCAGGAGGTTTCCACACGTTAAAAAAAGGGTTCTCTGCCAGTCGACCGAGTGGGCGATGCTGAGAAAGAATGAGGTAGGTGCATTTACGG